GGGGGGGGTAGTGAACCTAAAACCGTTTTTAACCAGTTGTCCACATGAGCCTCAGTATACTTTGATATTTGGCGCCCTCAGCCCACTTAACATTATTTGTGAGCATGGACGTTTCTACCATTCCAGAAAAATTCAAAACACAGATGGAGACTATATAGTTTATATACTATATACTTCATGCTCAATTCATGAATTCTTAAAATACAAAAGAGTATTGATAATGGCTCTGATCTTCATTGAATGCTCCTATGAATAGAGGTGGGTGGTGTATTCAGTGAGTGAACAGTTTAGAAATAAGTGCTATTTCATGTGTGATAGTAATTTAATAGTTCTGCTTTTCTGTATAAAACTTTTCTGTGTGGTTTAGCCTCAAAATCTAACACTTGTCCTAAGCCTCTCATGTGTACTTTAAACTTACAGCTCATTACTCTGTACCCGAAGATTTCTAACTACATAGGGGTAGTTATCACTACTTACATTACACACAGGTAGGAGTATCTGAGTGTGTATCTCACTTCAGAGTTTTATAGTTAGAAGTCATTTAAATGAACTATTTTTGGTTTCAGTATCATATCAATAAACTGTCAATTATGACATCAGAAAATCATTTGAACAACAGTGACAAAGAAGTGGATGAAGTTGATGCTGCCCTTTCAGATTTGGAGATTACTTTGGAAGGGGGTAAAACATCAACAATTTTGGTAGGTGAATCTTTTTATTAACTAATACAGGTTGAATTGATAATTGCCTTTTTGTGGATTTAGGTTCTCTTGAGGTATTTGGGGGATGTAGATAAATATTTAATGCTTAGAGAGAATTCAGGTGTAATTTTTTTCAGGAAAAAAGAAACACCCTAGTCTCTAGTGCTATGCAAGATAGTAAAGATAGATCTCCTACTCCTGCTCTGCACACTGTCTCACTATGGCAGGAAAATCCCTTTCTATAGTCAATCTCAGATCATTGCACTTTTGACCAAATTTGTGTTACTTTTATATCATTTAAAAATGCCTTTGTGCTTTATGACCGTATACTATGATTATGCCTTTAAATCGGTTTTTAGATTTGTTTTATGAAGTAAGCTAGTTCTTGATATCAGTAGCAAAGTTGCAATTTTCAAGAAAAATCAGAAAATCATGATTTAATTCTTACTCTAGGGTGACATCACTTCCATACCTGAACTTGCTGACTATATTAAAGTTTTCAAGTAAGTACAAAAAAGGGAGGGATTCCAGCTATTAATGGATAAGTGTCAGTTTCCTCATTGATAGTTGAATTTAAGTTTCACTGGCATATGCATCTGTAAAAACATTTACAAATTACACGAATCCTAAATTATGAGGGAAATAGACATCTTTCACAGTACTCATTAACATTTTTCTCTGATTAAAATTAAGGGAGAAAAAAATGATTGTGTAACCTAGATTGCATCACATAAATTCTGAAATATACAGTATGTATCATTGTAAAGCAACCCCACGGGGAGAAAGCAGTACAGAATGAACTGTTACTGACAGTGATCCTTTCCTTGTGTGGAGACTCCCAAGCTATTGAATTCTGTTCATTCATATAACATTTTATAATAATATTCCAGTGTGTATTATGTAGACTTTTAAAAACCTAGTCACATTCACAGAATCATGAGAACTAGAAGTTAAGTCCAAGAGGGGAAAAAGGAAAGGAGGTGATCTGGACTGTGAGATGTTACAGCCAGTTACGGGGTAGTTACATAAACTACCATAGGTGACCATACAGAGCTAACATAGGTAACACGCCTGAGGTGAGCCGTGGTTCAGATGCTCCTGCCAACCCCCTTGACACATCTCTCCTGCGTGACGTTTCCTTACCCTTTCCCCCCATAACTGCTCTGTGTTCATGGTTACATTAGAGTGGCAAGGGTAAGTCACCATTGAAATGCATCCCTGAGAGAGAACTAGCACTCCCTCACTTGAGGTAAACATGCTTGTGCAGAGGAGGCGCTGCAGACGCTTATGGTAATGGGACTTAGGATCCTTCCAGTTATTCACATATATTTCACCTTTTCCATGTGCCCTGCTTGTGATAACTGCAACTGACAGAAATGCTGGGGTGTTGAACTGACTGCCTTCCTCCTCTGTCCACTCACTCACTGTTAGATCTTTCTCAGCCGACTGAAAAGCAAGGGACAAACCAGTAACAGCAGCTTGAAGGCGACATGCTGCCTGAAGGGTACTAAAGTCAGCATTGGTAAAACTCTGTGAAACTTTGCTGCTAAAATTTTGCATTGACAGCTACTCAGGTGGTTTTCCCCCTAAATTCTATTTCACATATAGGCCAAAAAAGCTGACTCTGAAAGGGTACAAGCAATACTGGTGCACGTTTAAAGATACATCAATTTCGTGCTATAAGAGCAAAGAAGAATCCAATGGCACACCAGCTCATCAGATGAACCTAAGAGGTAAGAAACCCTTGGAATTAACTACTGTTGGGGGAGGGGAGCAGTGAGTTCTTCAGCAGTTTTACTCCTTTTTTATCCATGGGAGTTCACACCCAACTTCTATGTGTGCAGTCCTGTGCTTTGTATGTGTATACATATATTTCCTTAGTTCTTGTCAGTTTTGAGTATTCAATCTCATGTGACTCTTTTGTTGTCCTCTCTCTGCTCCTTCCTTACTTGAAGTGTGTGATTTTGCCCTTCTCACTTGGTAAATGAAGTTAGGGTTTCTCTCTTCTGATCTTCAGCATGAATTAGGACATATGAGCCTTCCTTATTGCACCGAGCTGCCTGTCTTATCTGTTCCAGATTCTGCTTTGTTTTTATCTAGCTGTACTCATCTTCCCACTTGTTGCTGGCTTCTCTCCTCCCTCTCAGCCACCTACTCTTCTTGACCTTCACTGATGACAAGCTGGCCCCCTGAGTGTCCCCACACACTACTTACTGCTCTCAGGCTTCTCCCTGACGACCTAAACCTTACTGTTTCCTCCTCTCTTCGAATCCACAGAGGTCTTAAAACCAGGGTATTTGGAACATACGTGGCTGGATACATTTGCTTCCCGTCCTGTGTTGCACCTGGCTGAGGACTCTTGAGCTGCTAGCTTTGTTGTTTGTTTTCTTCTACTTGGGTTAATGGAGCTACATAGCTACATTTCCTGTTGTGTGATTTCTTCTGTCCCTTCTTCACACTGCCCCTTGCCACTTTGATCCGACTGATGCATTGGTCAGGTGTGAGAATTCCCTCTCCAGGTTGGTCTCATTCTTCTGCAGCTGGAAGAGGCTCTGCTGCCTCTTGCTGTGATTTCACCACAGGACTATTAACTGATCTTACAGACTCTGGATGAACCTCTCGTTCACAATGACCAAACCTCACTTGTGACGCTGTTCACAAAACCTGGCTCACGTCCAGTTTGGGTACCACTAGGGATTTCCTAGCTCACTCTGAGAAGCTTTTCCCAAGAGTGCTCTTACACAGCTCTCGTGGCATTCAGCACACTCGTCGCCAGCGTGTTGGTAGAAGATACAGTAGGTGGGCACCTTGCTATTCCAGAGGTTCCTCTTACTGTGCCTTCCCTTACAGCAGAGGCTAGAAAACAAATTCATTTTCTAGACTCATTTCCAGTGAGATTTAGATTCTATTCATATATTTCTATAAGATTTTATTTTTAACCCAGTTAAGGGATTGGGAGCAGGATTGAGAAAGGTGTGAAGTACTTCTGGGTGCTGAGCTAGCTGCACGCAGCAGCTTCCTGGTTGTAGCAAATGTTGCACCTCCCTTGCTACTTTTGACAGTAGAGTCAGGGAGTTTTGTCCATCTCTCCGTTGGGCTATGTTCTGCATGTATAAAGATTTATCGTTTTTTGGGCAAAAGATGAAGGCGTGACTCAAAAATCATTCCAAAAGTAATTTCATGTGTCACTTAAAATACACAGGTTCTTTTGATGACCTGTGTTCTTAGTTTTTCTTAGAGATTTGGATTTTGTTGAAATACTATTTTAATTCTACTCAGTAGACAGCTGAGTTGCTGTTTTATAGTTAAAATAAGTTGTGAAAAAGGAAAAATCTCTGTTCTATGCAAAGCGTTGTTGTGCCTGTCTGTTGGACTTTTAAGTTTTAACTATGACTTAAAGAAAAAGGTACTGAGCTTAAGTTTAATTTGGTGGTGGGAGGGTACTAATAATGTTATCCTTAGAATCTGTTAAAGCATTCTTGCTTTACTCTTAAGCTGCCAGGAGTAGTTCAGATTAAATTAAAAGTGCTTAGATACTAGATCTGCATTCTTTCAAATTTATATTCTTAACCTTCTTCCTATATGACTGAAAAATTTTGTCTAGTTGTAGAGAACAGCCTAGGTTTTCTCATCCAATCCCTTGCAAAGGAGTATTTTGCCAGCATATCACACTGATAAATGTTAACATTGACCAAAGAATCTAATGTTTTAAGCCCCATGGTTTTGCAATATAGCCCTTGGTCCCTCCCTGACAAATGCACATGTGGATTTAAGTGCTCTTTAGGACCCACAGTTGCAAAGTTCTAAAAAATAATTCACTTTAACAAATACTGATGTCTCTCATGTGGGGCAAACGGCTAGGTACAAAAGGCCTGAATATGAGGCAGTTATAGTCCATCCCTCAAGATGCTTAAATTATGGGGAGAAAAGCAGTTGCAATTTAGACAATAAATAGAATTTCAGAAAGTAAAGTAGCCATCCGAGCAGCAAGCGGTGAGGTGCTTTACCAGTCTTCAGTGATGGCAGAGAGAATGAAGAGACTACATAGTGAAAATGCCAGAAGTGAGTCCTGAAAGAGAAGTCAAACACATGGAAGGAGGAGAGCTAGCAAAAGAGCCTGTCGGGCAGAGACTGATTTGCAAAAATGTTGGAGAAAATCATCAGCAACCAGAGGGATGTGGGAGGAGGACGGTGGGGGGTGCTGCCATGGCTTATAGCGCTCGAGAGGCAACAAATGACAGTGTTACAGCTTCACCCACCGACACATAAGAACAGAAGTGAGTAGTAGGAATTTCAGGATAAAAATTTAAGAACTTTACTTTTTCAACTGACAACAGTGATAAACCACTGAAACATTATTACTGTGAAAACTACAGGATCCATGTAAGAGCAGTAATAGTGATCCAGATTGGGTTTCAGAGGGCTGGAGAAAAGGGTGGGAATACAATAGATACTGAGGAAGTTTAATCAAAAGATTGGGTGTTGGTAGAGAGGCCAAAGGAAGGATGACACTGGGAGACCTGGGTTTGGGTAGGAAGGTGATGTTTAACTTTGGATATTTTAAAATTGAAGTTTCTGTGGTGTATCTCCTTGGATATTGTTATCTGAGTCACTGGTTCTGAGGGAAGCTCTCTGCTACAGATAATTTGGTAACAGCATTAGTAAAATGTGTATAGCCACTGAGTGAGTGGGCTGTCTGTAATAGAAGGCTGAGGCCAGAGTACCCATTTTAGGGGATAAGCAGATTAGGTGAAAGGAGCTTGTGGTTTAAGAGGGGAGATACTCAAGGAAGCTGCATGCTGATGGAAATGTCACAGTGGAGATCTCTGTGGTGGAGCTAGATGCAACATGCATTCCGTGTGGACAGAGAGCCCTGAGCAGTAGGAGGCAGCTGCCTCTTCCGCCCCGTCAACGTGATGGCAAGTAGCTTTGTCCGCTGTGGTGGCAGGAAGCTGGGAACTTCATTCCTGATAGCTTTCATGCTGTAGAAAAAAGAAGAGGTGAGGTTTTCCATGAGATTGATTTGATATAAACATGGTTGCAAATGTAAAAGGAGGACTGTTAAGGACCAGGTTGAGGTGGGGATCCGTGGGTTTTCTAGTGAAATCAGTTTGCTTCATCTCTCTTACAGTGCTCAGCAGCCCAAGTATGACAAGTACACTATAAGTGGTTGAGTTAGGTTTTGCCACGTGTGTAGAATGGAAAGACCTTGAGTCTGGGGAGTTGGAGATGACATCCAGTAAATGGGGTCTAGGCCAGACTGGGGTAAAGAAGAGGTGAAAATATACTGCTGATTTTGAGAAATTGAGGGTTGCAGGGAGAGGGAGGGCCTTAAAGAATTTGAACAGAATTAGGACTGAAGAGCTTGATGAGAATGGGCTCTTCGCACTTAACATATCAGAGGGATAGTAATTGATTATAACAGTGTCCAGCACATTGCTGTGGAAGCAGGTAGCTGAGGTCATGCCAAGCCAATTATGGTCTGAGAGGTGGCCCACTAAGTACCTCAGTACAGCCCTAGCACCTGAGTTAGATTCTCTCTGTGTAACCAACCCTTTTTAGTTTTCATATTTTACTTTCAAAAGAGGCCTAGGTATTATGGCACGGTATACTGTAAATCCGCTTGAAATCAATTAAATGCATTTTGCATTGTGTAGCTTTCAGATAGCTCCTTAACTTGGAAGGTTAAACACACTGCCACACGATTACCTCATATTTTCTAATGTCATTAGAGAATGAGCTAAACAGAATGCAAAGGAGGAGAGCCCACCAAATTCATGATCCAGAAGTTGCTTCTAGAGAGCTTTCCTTTAAAATATTCTGTTTCCTTAATATAGTTAAAATATATGAATGGAGAAAAAGATGACAGTATTAACATTTGTTATATCTAAGAGAAGAAAGAATATGTTTGCTCCACCTCAGAATTACTGGGCATAAAGACAATTATTTCCTGACTTGTATAGAATACATAAATGAGGGTTGCCTGCATGGTATTGAAAGTAAACCTGACCATTTTAACAATTGGGATTTTTTTGTTGTTTTGTAACAGGTTGTGAAGTTACCCCAGATGTAAACATTTCTGGCCAAAAATTTAACATTAAACTGCTGATTCCAGTTGCTGAAGGCATGAATGAAATCTGGCTTCGTTGTGACAATGTAAGTTCTCCAACTGAAAGGAAACGTTGGTTTCCCAGTCATCTTGGTGTTTCATACTCCATACTCAACATGTGATGCATTTCATACCTCAGCATTTCTTTTCCTCAGGAGAAACAGTATGCACACTGGATGGCAGCTTGCAGGTTGGCCTCCAAGGGCAAAACCATGGCGGACAGCTCGTACAACTTAGAGGTGCAGAATATTCTTTCCTTTCTGAAGATGCAGCATTTAAACCCAGATCCTCAGTTAATACCAGAGCAGATCACAACTGATATAAATCCTGAGTGTTTGGTATCTCCTCGATATCTAAAAAAGTACAAGAACAAGCAGGTACTTGATTCATTTTACTTTATCCACTATTTTCTACTTGTTTGTTATATGATGTTATATGTATACTTTAGTTCAATTTCCTATCAGGCAGTTAGATTAAAAAACAGGAATAAACAGCTGTCAGTTTCAATTGATCTTTTTTAAAAATCTATTTTTATAGAACTGATGAGGTAGAATACTTATTGTAGACAACCTGAGTAGATCACTTTAATAAGATGTCCTTTCAGAGGCCTGAACATACAAAGCATATTCCTAATGCTTTATGTTCCTTAATTCTTCTAGTCGTAGTCCTTAATAATTAAGTAACTGTGACATAACATACAACCAACAAAATCTCTAATGCCTTTTACTGTAGAATTGACTTTTCCAGCTCTGGACATCAATTTCAGAGTAGAGCAGTTTACATTTTAATGCAGTCTTTCCTTAACAGTTATAACATAACCAAGATTTGTATAATGTGACAAAGTTTAATAAATTTTCATTGACATTCATCTCTTTCTGTTCCCTCTGCTTAGAATTCTTTTCTGGAAATTAAAACCATAAAAGGATTTAAGAAAACTGTTCTTCAGTACAACATAAACGGTTCTTTGCAGGGGAATTTCTCTTGAGTTAGACCCCCAGTATTCTCTACACCAAGCATCATGCCATAAAAGGAAAAGGCTTGTTAGGGATGGGGGAAAACTGAAGATCTTTAAAATAAACATTTCATTTGATCTAGTTTCATTTTTATCTTTGTTAAAAAAGTTTTAAAAATGCACTAAAAAGACTGAGGAAAGTGGCCACGACACTTATTCTTAACTTTAAATATGTTTATCATATGGGTCTAAAATCATTAGCTAGAAATGTTCAGAAGTTTTGTCAAATCTTTAAGTTTCAGAGGTTGTGTAAGCTACATGGAAATTGTTTATCCCCAGTCATCTGAGTGGGAGTAGTAAGGAATGGAGGAAATGTTGCTCTGGGAGCTTTGTGGAATGTAGATTGTAAATTAAAGAGGGAAAGTGAGTCGCGTATTAATTTCATTTAAAAATTACTTGTAAATCAACTTGTTTCTTAAAGTAGATTTATTTGCCTTCAAAGGCAATGAATGAGAAATTTCAAATCTTAGCAATCTATCATTCCACTATCAGGTATCGGAGAGAAAGAAAACCACCTTAAAAGTATAATTGTACAGACTGTAAAATGCTGGTTTAGCTGTCAAAGACAAGTTTTGGGTTATTTCTTCAGAAGCTTTAAAATGATAGTTTAAAATTTTTCTGTTCTGAGTTCTCTACTGGAATGTCAAATGAAAATTCTGTAGAGGCCTTTGAAGGCAGGATGTGCATGGTTCATAGCTAAGGATCCTTCTGGTCTTGTCTTCCATGCTGGCGTCTCATCAAATGTATATTCTTCCTTAACCCTCAATCCTCTAACTAGCCTTCCAGGTTGCTCCTAGAAGGTAGGGGCCACGTATTGCCCCAACACTTTTAAAAATGCTGACAGACCAAAGTTTACCTGCTATTGTGTGTCAGGTGTTGTGCTAATAAACACCGGACATAATGCTCAGCAGTTGTTAAGCTTTAGAATCCAGTGGCATTCTGGAGCTGGATAGGAAGATGTGTGGCCCAGGGTAGACATGTGGTTTAAACTTGTTATGGGTTATGGGTTTAAATGAAATGACTTGCATTAGATTTTTACATTTTAAAAAATTTTCTACATTATCCCTATCATTCAAAATTGAAATGGGCTAAAGGTTTTGTAGTCAATATACCTAGTGTAGTGTATGGCATCTCTCTATTTTCCTTTCCAGGAAAAAGGATGCAAAAAACAGATGGTAATTGCTTTTCTTGTGTAAATGCAGCGAACAGAGTATGGTCACTGCTCTTACTTTATACCTTCAACTTACTGCTGAAAAGCAGTGCATGGGTCATATCTCACTAAATCCGAGGAGACATTAAAAGCTGTTGAATATTTTTGTTACTAAAAATAATTAGCTTAACCCTAACCTATAAGAGTGGGTAAAAAAGGGGATAAAAGGGTATTTGCTTTTATTCTATAAATTTCTATCTTTAATTTTAGTCACCTATAACAAGCTATAGTCATGTGAAGTGTTTCTTGGTATTCTAAATTGAAAGTGATCACTGCTTCCTCGTTTTCATTTTCATGCTTGCATTTACTTTGCTTGGTCTCCAACTAAAGTAATTTTTGCATGTTTTTCGGCTGGATTTTTGGTTTGCAGGTTACCGCAACTTTCTTTGCTTCATTGCCATTTTTTCTGATTGCCTTTTTTTTTGTTTGTTTTCTTTCTGCTTCCCTTTTCTTTCCTCGCATTGCCATCTACAGCCAGGCTATATAAGAGATTTGGTAAGTTCTCCACATTTACAGAAAGAAAATAAATATCTAAAATCCTAGCTACAGTTTCCCCTCATGGATTAATTTCCTTCCACTCCTTATGGGAGTAGTCACCCAAAGTGAGTATAACTTAAAAATGAACTTTTCTAATATTGTCTACAAAAATTTCAAAATCATGGTGATTTCAAATGCTTGAAAGCTGCTAACATATAATCTGGCTAGATTAGGAATCTGATATTCCAAGTATTTGATAATCACATAGCTTGGTATTAAATTTAAAACTCCTCATGGACGTGAATATTTGAACACACAGGTAATACTAGTGGTATCGTGTGTCGCTAGGGAAGTTAAGTACTCACACAGATAGAAACTGAAATTAAGAATATATCCAGATTTTCCCCAGTGTAAAATCATCTACTTTCTAGTTCCACTTCTTACATGATTTGGGGGTATAAAGTTGTAAATCTTTTTCTGTATTGATTTTGCCATGCACAAGTAATGTCTAATGGTGATGTTTAATCATGTATAGATAACAGCAAGAATCCTGGAGGCCCATCAGAATGTAGCTCAGATGAGTCTAATTGAAGCCAAGATGCGATTTATTCAAGCTTGGCAGTCGTTGCCAGAATTCGGCATCACACACTTTATTGCAAGGTAAACCTTTATGTTTAAGCTCAGTCTTTTAACTTAATCTCCTTAGTGTAATTAAAACATAAACATTTACAGCTATTCTGAACTATTTTACTCATGTAACCTATTTTAGAGTGAAATTTAAAGAAACGTTGGGATGTATTTTCTGTATTGTTAACTTTCACATTAAAAATTCAATGCTTACATTTCTGTTTTTATTCATACAAGAATAGCACTTTACTCATAAGGATAGTACATTTTTAAGAGTTAAAGAGCTTATGTTTTTAAATTTACTGCTATAGGTTCCAGGGGGGCAAAAAAGAAGAACTTATTGGAATTGCGTACAACAGACTGATTAGGATGGATGCCAGCGCAGGGGATGCGATTAAAACGTGGCGTTTCAGTAACATGAAACAGTGGAATGTGAATTGGGAAATAAAAATGGTAAGCTATAACTAACATTGTTACTCAAATCCATAAAAAATAGTAAATTAAGAATAAAAAGGTCTGAATTGAGGATTCCTTTTATACCTTTACCTCTTACAGTATATAGAATGTGGTTGTTACTCATTTCCTAGTCAAACTAGTCTGTTTTGCAACTACTCCAGTTATTAAAATGCTAAGCACGCAGTAATGCTCTTTAGACTATTCCGTTGGCTTAAGGTCACCCCTGCACAGCGGAGAAAGCCCCAGCCTCACAGTAGCAGTGGATCATGCACCACTGCTCTGGGGAAGCAGGAAGGATACTGGTGTCTTCGTGTTTTTTTTTTAGATTTATTTATTCGCACAAAACTGGGGTACAGGCCAGAGATGCGGAGGGTGAGAGGATTCACCAGAGACAGTGGGGAGCAGCGGGCGGGTCAGGAGAGATCTGTTGCACCATGTGGATCTCCTCTGGGGCAGGCGGAATTGAATTCATGCGGAAGTGGCTTAAGCTTCTCAGTGCTGTGCTTTAACTCTCTGCGCCACCAGGGAGGGCCCTGTGTTTGTATCTTACCTCCACACCTCGCTGCACCACAGTCTGGGGAGGGGGATTAGCCCTCCTTTATAAGAGAGGATTCTAAAAGTTAGAGGCTTTAGTACCACACACTTAATAGCAGGATCAGGATTGAAATTCATATTCTGGGCTCTAAAACCTGGTACATCAACCACAGATGGTCCTAACTTGGTGTTATTTGTTTTAGGATCGTTGAGCTTGTTATTTCAGTTCCTATCATTTCATAGGGTCTCTTATTACTGAAATATTCAAACATGATATCTAAAGGTTATATATCTAAAACAAATACTGAACACAGGAAGTAGGTTTTCTCCCAGGACTTGGAGAACCATTCTCATTAATTGAATCATCAGAGACCATTTGGGAACTTAATGACCCACACCCCTTGCATTCAGTCTTCCTTTTCAGAACAGGAAACCTTTCAAAAAAAAAAAAAAAAACAGTAAGGGAAGTTTGCAAATGTCTCTTGGAACTGAAGGCATGATTAATTTAAGATTAAAGAACGAGTATTTGAGAATCAACAAATAGTTCAGACCTTAAATAGCAGAGTCGCTCCCTTGGGAGCCTGTCACCTGAAGGTTTACTGGAACTGACTGTTCTTTATCTTTCTTCCAGGTCACTGTAGAGTTTGCAGATGAAGTGCGATTGTCCTTCATTTGTACTGAAGTAGATTGCAAAGTGGTTCATGAATTCATTGGGGGCTACATATTTCTCTCAACACGTGCAAAAGACCAAAATGAGAGTTTAGATGAAGAGATGTTCTACAAACTCACTAGTGGTTGGGTGTGAGTACAAATAATTTGTGATATAAACTCCATGGCCATACGATATTTAACTTTAAAAGCTGTTCGTTATATGCTGCTTAATAAAGTAA